TTTTTTTTTTTATAAATATTCTTTTCTAGTATGCCGTTTTGGAAAATGTTCTGTTTGTGTATGTTAAGGATAAGAAAACATGAATTTGTCCCCACATTTTGAAAAAATGTGGGAATATCGAAGTATATGGAAACAGCTAGGCTTACAAGGTTCTACAACTTGACTTTGGAGATAAATATTTTTTTCTTTTGGTGAGACAAAAATCCAAAAGTATTATAGAACTATTTTTTTATGTTAGGACAAATGCTAGAATATTAACCAAAAATAAGGAATATTTAAATTTTGGACATCTTAAAACCATACTACTCTTAATTAACATTATTCATCATGATGTGGTGGCAATTTAACTTATGTCAAAGCTATTAGGAATGAACTTTACTGGTAAGAATGCCGACTAGTAATGATGAACGAAGTTTGGGGACAGGACATGCCTTGAAAGCAAAGAGAAGGAAAAGCAATACCTAGAACAATGCCATCGGGCCAGCTTTTGTCCCCATGTATCTCAAAACTCAAATGATTTTCCCACAAAAATCCTAATTAATTCACTTGTTTTACATTTCTTAATACATTATATTTTAAAATAAAAATTGTTAGATGAAGAAATCTTTATTTATCAATTTAAGTTATACTTTTGGATCGATAATTTAAATAAACAATTTATCTTTGTGTTTTTGGGTAAATTTATCCATACTCTCATATTTGAGGGGTAGAATTAAAGGTTATGTCATGTTTTTAATAACATTTTTTTCTTTTATGGTCCTTTTTTTTTTTCTTACGGTAAATTAATTAAATATGTAGGTAAATTGCAATAAAATTTAAAAAAAGAAGAAGAAGAAGAAGAAGAAGAAGAGAAAGAGAGAGAGAGGATATTTTGGTCAATAGGGGAGCACCGTACGTTGCCCGGATTCTTAAATTCGGCCGTTTCTTACGTGGTAAAAGGGGCAGGGGGAAACCGGCGCGCCAGTCGCTCTCAGCCGGCCTAGAGTTGGTTTGTTGACGTGTCGCGTTTTGATTGGATGGAAACCACGAGCGTGACGTGCGTCCACAAATCAAATTTGCTTTTTGGAGGCCGAGGGAGGGATGCTGGCTTTTTAGTCGGCTCTTGTTTTAAATTTCGAATTTTGTTTTCAAACCCCTTTTTTATATGAGCAGTGCTAGGGGCACTCGCTTTTTGCACTCTCCGGCCAACACTTCCCCTTTCATTGGGCCACGTAAGCTTCTTTAAAGCTTTCAGAGCAACTTATCGGAAACCAAAATAACGTGGCCCAATAAAAGAGAAAGTGTTGGCCGGAGAGTGCAGGAGGCGAGTGTCCCTAGCATTGCTCTATTCATATTGATGGCGTTTTTTTTTCTATTTTTTTTATTTATAACAAATGCAATAGAGAAAAAACAGAAAAGAAAAAGAAATGGGTCACCCTACAGGCTAGAGAAGCATGAGTGGTCCGTAGATTTTTTTTTTTTTTTGACAAAGCGATGGTTATAAAGTTAGTATGAATTAGTTGTTAGTAATTGAGATTTCTTAGATCGGGTGAACATTCCACCATTTTAAATGAGGCGTGTGGTCATCAAGTCACTTTTTGATGGAGTTCATGACAGTGGGAGAATTTGAAACTCTAACCACCGTCTCACCCAAACACTAAGGTTTGGGGGAACCATTGGATCTGCCGGTTCTTTTTTTTTGTTTTTTTTATCTTGATTGATAATAAGAGATAATTATTTTTAATTTTTTATTTTATTTTATCATATACCATATAATTTAAATTTAAAATTTTTTATTTTTAATAAAAATATAATTATTTAATTATTTAATTCAAAATGAATAAATTAAATATAAATATTTAAGTAATTAATGGGATTCAAATTCTTAATCAATCTTACTCAAATCTTGATATTTGAGTAGGGATCAACCATTAGAGCGCGGAAGACTGATTCATATTGATGTCGTTATTGTCTTGACGATTTCCGTGAGTGGAGGTGAAGTGTAGTTAGCAACAAATGGCGCAGTGATAGAAAGCGTCGGGGTATTTTTACGGAATTGTCTTCCCTTTTACCTGTAGATTATGGCACTGTTGTTGATGGAATTGGAATTGTCAAAACAAAACTGAAAGCGAGCAGAGTTTGCAGGAAAGCGATTCGGAGAAACAAACAGAAGGTACGGGCTCCTCTGAAATTTCCGATGACACGGTTTCTTAGACGTCGCATTCCTTG